AAAGAAAAGAAAGTCCCCATCCTTGGATCCAGTGGCATGTTCGGTCCATCCTGCCCGTGCTCCGGTGCTGGGCGTGCCTTTCCCCCGAGCCGAGTCTTTAGAAGTCCTCGGGCTGTGGCCGGGCAGATCTGAGGTTTCGCCACCACACCCAAAACTCTCCCCTTCTCCCTCGGTTAAAGGTGCAGACCCGGCTTCAGCGAAGCCCCTCCTGCCTTTGCGAGCTGCCCAGTGTTTGAGGAGCTGACATTTAATTTTTCGGCCTCCCACTGTTGTCCCCAAACAGGTTCCCCAGCCCCGCTCTCTGCGCAGAACTGTAAATAAATCAAAGACCTCGGCTCTGTGTGTGGAGCGGCCTCTTGCACAGGAGTGAAAGAACCCGTTCCGGGACAACACCACCCCCCCGTGGCTCAGTCGGTTAAATCGCGTTCCTGTGAGCTCTTCCAGGGCGGTGATTTCACGCAGTGAACAGAAGGAGGAGAAGGAGAAGAGATAAAAGGGAGCAAGCGAGAAATCCTACAGCAAACAGTGGCAACGCCAAGCCTTAGGAATATAAATCCCGCTAAAACATCGCTCCTGTTTGCATCAGCCATTTCCCCACCCCACGAGTCCCACAAGATGCAGCAATGAGAGGATCCGTGGGTCAGGATTCCGTGCCCCAAACCAGCCCGTGGGTTGCATTATTGGAACAATCCCACTGTTTACTCAGTGCTTTGGTTCACCTTGGATGGAGCTGCTTCTCTGGAAGTCACAGCGTTGTGAACACGGCATTCCCTGTGGGTGAAGTTTAACATCCCACGTATCCCGTGTTCCTTTAATCACAACACGTCTGACACCAATCCATTTTGCGATGTCATCCTCGATGCCTGCTGAACCACAGGTTTGATTCTCCAAAAGCACGTCTTGCCCAGTTGCTCAGAGCATCTACTTGCCAGGTTGCATTTTCTAGAGCCCATTTATGTCTAATTATTACACAGGGAGACAACTTGCTTCCAGCCCGAGGGCTAAAGCCATTCTGAAGGCAGGATCAGAGAATCATGGAATGATTTGAGTTGGAAGGATCTTAAAGCTCATCTTGTTCCACCCCCTGCCACGGGCAGGGACACCTTCCACTGTCCCAGGTTGCTCCAAGCCCTGTCCAACCTGGCCTTGGACGCTCCCAGGGATGGGGCAGCCACAGCTTCTCTGGGCAACCTGTGCCAGGGCCTCCCCACCCTGGGAACAACTCCTTCCCAATATCCCAGCTAACCCTGCTCTCTGGCAGTGGGAAGCCATTCCCTGTGTCCTGTCACTCCAGTTTCTGATGCTATAGGAACCCTCTCTTGTGCTCTATAGGCCTGGAAGGTGCTGTGAGGTCTCCACACAACCTCCTTCTCTCCAAGCAGACACCAATCAGGCTTTGCAATGTTTCTCATCCATTCATGTGCTGTAAATTCCCTTCTGACAGTGTCACATTTCTGTCGAAGTGACTTGGGCATTGAACAATTAAAAACTCCATTTGGTCACAGATAAGGGATTCCTACTCCACATTTCAATCCTGCACATTTCTTTAAGGTTAAGTAAGAATAGAACTTTTCCATTAGAGCATCCCCAGGCCAGTCCTGGAGGAGCAGGATAAATGCTTGTTCCACAGCTGAGTTTTAATTGGAAATATTTCACAGCAGTTAAAGCAGGGGCTCTGTGGGAGGTGGATTGAGGATATTGTTGGATTCCATGTCAAACCCCCTCCACAGGAGGTTTTGTCCTGTCCTCTGTACCGTGATGGCTGAAGTGGTGTTGGGGAGTCTCACACACCCACGGGTGTCTCATTGCACCAAATATTCTTCTTCCTAATAATCTGGTTCCTTAAAAGGATCAAATGTGGGATCCCAGGGCAAAGCCTGGCAGGATCCATTTCCCTTGCACTTCCCAGGTGCACAGCAATCGTTGAGTGTCAGATTTTCTTCTGGAACTGAGTCACTGCACCCAGAATCTGGTGTTGATTTGGGGGGGGAAAGATCCCACACCAGGTCAGTAGATCTGTCCTTTAACATGACACCTCCCCCCAGTCTACCCAAGTCTGATCAGATGGGGCATGAGAGGGGAAGTTACATTCCTTCAGCTGGTAAAAATCACAGCAGATAAATTTATGGGCAACAGAAAGAATCTCACTCCTTCCTGCGTGGACAGGGCGTGGTGAGGCAAAGCCCTTGGTTTAGGGAAATAGAGGGGGGGGAGAAAAAAAGGAAAAATGGGGACAGTGAACTGGAATAGAACAGAGACATAGAACAAAAATCACAGAAGGGAAGGCACTAAAGAAAGACAAGAAATAATTGAAAGTCAGTGAATGGGATAAAGACAAATAGTAAATTTTATAAAGCAACAAGAACTAGAGAAAAAAAATAATGACAATGAAGTAAAATGGAGATGTAGGGACTGTCCTCCTTCCCAGGGCACAGGACAGGCTTTGCCCAGCTTTCTGGGATCCCTTCTCCCTCCCAGAAGGGAGGGTGCCCGGGGGGCTCAGCAGAACTTTGCATGGGATGGTGCAGAGCCCTGATCCTTTCCTGGAGGCACAGAGGGATCTGAGGGGCTTCACACGGGACAACACGGACCCCTGCTCCTCTCCAGGGGGCACAGTGGGATCTGAGGGGCTTCATATGGGATGGCACAGACCCCTTCTCCTTCCCTGGGTGCACAGCAGGATCTGAGGGGCTTCACACGGAACAACACAGACCTCTGCTCCTTCCTTAGGGTTGCAGCGGGATCTGATGGGCTTTGCACGTGTCCACAGAGGCCCCTGCTCTATCCCAGGGTCAGCTGTGGATCTCTCTGTGCTCTGCCTGAGCCCACAGGAGCCCCCCCAGCGCTCCCCCCGAGGTGCTCAGTGGGCTCCACGAGCCTTTGGCAGATCTCCACAAGGCTCTGCTCCCTCCCACGGCTCTGCCAGTCCTTCTGCAGGCTGGACAGCCCCTTCTCCCTCCCGGGGCACACAGTGGTCCTCCCTGGGCTTTGTGGAGGCCCACAGATGCCCCCACTCCCGCTCCCGGCACACCACAGGCTCCCCCAGCCTTTGCCCATTCCTCTCACGGAGTGTGACGGGCTCGGATGTGCTTTGGGCTCCCACCTCGTGCACACCCTGGGGGGGAGCAGGGCCCCCAGCACAGAGCCTGGGGGGCCCCACAGTGTGCCCAGGACCCCACCAGCCCCCCTTCCTCCCCCTGCAGTGCCCTCGGGCTCTGTGGCTCCTTGGCACAGACCCACAGTCAGCCCCAGCTCGCTCCACACCAAACACCCTTTATTCACTGCCTGCACCGCGGGCTCAGGGGCAGCCCCAGAGCACCCCAGTCCCCGCAGGGATGCTCTGTCCCCTCCTGGTCAGTCCTGTGTCCCCCCCCGGGTCCCTCAGCGGTCCTTCCTGCGCAGCGGGGGGGACGGGGGGTAGTGGCGGGCGGGGGGCACATCGTAGTGACTGGGGATGTGGCTGTTCTTGGGGGAGTCGTAGTGGCTGGGGGGGTCTGTGCGTGTGGGGCCACTCTCTGTGGGGACAAGAGAAGGCTGTAAGGCGACATGTCCCCCCCAGGGGTCACGAAGCCCGTGTCACCGAGGCCGTGTCCCCCCGGGGCCACGTAGTCACCGGGGTCACGTCACCCCCCAGGGCTGTGCAGCCCCTGTCATCGGGGCTGTTTCCCTCCCGGGGCCAGGCAGCCCCCCATCAGCAGGGTCCTGTGCCCACTGCACGGGGTCAGGGGACCCCCCAGCCGTACCCTCTTGGGGCGGTTCCTCGGGGACCCCGATCTCGGCGTAGGACATCTCCCGCCGGACAGGGGACTTCATCTCCATGTAACTGCCCTCGGGGGCCTTGGCAGTGGGGATGGGCAGCTCTTTGATGGTGGCATAGGGGTTCTCGCTGGCCAGGGAGCTGGCACTGGCCCCCAGCCCCTCCCGGGAGTGCTCTGGGGGAAAAGGAGTTGGGGAGCGGGAGCAGCCGCATCCGGCTGTGTCCCAGGAAAGTCTCGGCCCCATCCCTTCCCTATCCCAGCCCCACCTCTTCCCCATCACAGCCCCACCCCTGGCCCTTTCCCTTCCCCACCCCATTCCAGTCCTGTCCCAACCCATCCCCACCCCATCCCTGCCTCTTGCCCATCCCAGCCCATCCCTGTTACGCCCCAAATCCATCAAGTCTCCATCCCAGCCCCATCCCCATCCTTTTCCCATCCCAGCCCCAGGCTCAGTGTTATCCCTTCCCCATCCCATCCTTTTCCTCTCCCCACCCCATCCACATCCATTCCCCATCCTCCCCCTGTCTCTCCCCCACTCCCCTCCATCCCACTCCGTACCTTTGCTGTCACCCTTCCCCAGCCCAGGGCTGTAGCTGTAGCTGTAGCTGTAGCTCCGGTCCAGCTGCCCCCCTGTGTTAAGGGGGCAGGTTTGGGGTCCCTCCTGCTTCATCTTCCTCCAAGCATTAAAGTTCTCTGTCCACCCCACCCCAGCCCCTTCCCCGTGGATCCCGAGCAGGGAGGGGACCCAGGTGCCCACCCCACCCTGGCCAAGGTCCCTGCTGGCTCCCTTGGAGCTGCCCCCCATCCTCCTTACCCCTGGGGCCCAGGGCTGATGCCCCGAGGTGCTTCCAGTCAGGGGGCAGTGTGGCATTGCCTTCGGGGCCGTAGGGTCTCTCCAGGCCAGGGAAGAGCTGTGGGCCGGGCACCTGGAGCCCAAACAGGGGACAGGGTGGCCTCAAGGGTGGTGGCAGTGGCCTGTGCCACGCTGTGCTGGCCCCGTGCCACACCATCCTGCCCCGTGCCGTACCTTGAGGGAGCTGGCTCTGTCCTGGGGGCCGGGGGGTGGCAGCGGGCACTGGGACAGCGTGTGGTAGCTGGGGTTGGAGTAGTAGTGTGCGTGGTGGCTTGGTGGCACGTCTGGAGGGACAGGAGTCAGCAGGAGGGCCCCCAGGGCTGGGGCCACGTCTGCAGCACCGCTGCCCCGGGCTCACCTGGCACCATGTAGTCGGAGGTGTCCGTCTGTCCCGCCGTGTAGGCCACGGACAGGTGCCGGCTCTCCTTGCCCTTCTGCCGGTGGCGGTAGCACAGGGCCATGACCACCACAGCCACCAGCAGTGCCACCAGGGCCACCAGGCTCAGCACCAGCCCCAGGGAGCTGTAGGCTGCAGGGGGGGCCGGCACAATGGTGTAGGGCTGCTCAGGGGTCCCTGTGGGGTGGGGAGGAATATCAGCCCCCAGGGTGGGGTAGGGACCTCAGGGACCCCCCGCTCTGCCCCCACTCACCGGCCTCACAGTGGGGCCCGGTCATGCCTGGGGGGCAGGGACACGTCCCGGTGGCAGGGTGGCATGTGGCATTGTGGGGGCAGCGGCAGAGTTGGTCACACTGGAGCCCGAAGGTCCCGGGGGCACAGGCTGGGGACACAGGGGGTGGGGGAGCCAGAGCCATACTGGGACCACAGCTCCATACTGGGACCATATAGCTCCATACTGGGACCATACAGCTCCGTAGTGCCCAGGATCAGGCTCCACAGGGGCCCATACGGTTCCATACTGCCCAGTCTGGAGCTGGGTAGGGGTTACCCAGGTGGTGACCCCTCTCTCTTGCCCCCCCAGACCTCCCTGGCTGGATGGGAGGGTGCAGACCCGCAGTGAGGGGGTGTCTGTGCCAGGCTCTACCTTCCTCGCAGAGCGTCCCTCTCCAGCCAGCCGGGCAGTGGCAGGTCCCCTCAGCAGGGTGACACGTCCCCCCGTGGTGGCACAGGCAGGGCTGGGCACAGGTGTCCCCCCAGGAGCCGGGGGCGCAGGCTGGAGGAGGGGGTGAGGGGTGGGGTCAGCCTTGTGGGGTCAGCCCTGTTCCGCACTCCCCCTCTCCCCCGGCCCCCCACTCACGCTGGGAGCAGCGGGGGCCCCGCCAGCCCGGGGCACAGAGGCAGGAGCCGTTGGTGGGGTGGCAGGAGGAGCCGTTGGCGCAGGAGCAGCTCAGGGAGCAGCGCTTGCCGTAGCGCCCGGGGGGACAGGCTGGGGTGACACGAGTTGCACCCGGTCTCAGCACAGGGCTCAAGGAGCGGGCTGGGAGCAAGCAGCAGTTTTGGGGGCGGGAGGGGGGTGCTCACTCACGGCGCTGGCAGGAGGGGCCGCGGAACCCCGGGGGGCAGGCGCAGGATCCGTCCTGGGGGGAGCAGGAGGCCCCGTTGCGGCAGGAGCAGGACATGCGGCACCCCCGGCCCCAGGAGCCCTGGGGACAGCCCTGCTTGCACTGCGGCCCTGCGAGGATGAGGAGGAATAGGAGGGGTGAAGGGCAACGCCTGAGGGCACGGCAGGGCCCCACTGCCCCCGGGATCACCCTCACCCGTCCAGCCGGGCAGGCAGTGGCACTCCCCCGTCACGGTGTCGCAGCCGTCGGCGTGGGCACAGTCACAGTGCCCCCCACAGCCCGCTCCGAACGTCCCGTTCTGCAGCGTGGGGACAGGTCGGGGAGTCACCGCCGGGGTGGTGGCACCAAACCCCGGTGCCAGCAGCACCAGCACAGCCAGCAGGACTCACCGGGCAGGGCTGCAGGCAGTGGGGGCCCTGCCAGCCCCGTGGGCACCGGCAGGTCCCGCTCTGGGGGTCGCAGGACGCCCCGTGGGCGCAGTCACAGCTCTGGTTGCAGCCGGGACCCCAAAGACCAGCGGGACACGGCGTTGAACAGTCCGGTCCGTGCCAGCCTGCGGGGTGAGGGGACAGCGGGGTGGGCACAGGGATGGGCACAGGGACCCCCCACCCTCCGGTGTGCACCCACCTTCTTTGCAGAAGCAGGACCCGTCGAGCGGGGAGCAGGCCAGGGCGTGCTGGCAGGAGCAGCGCCCCGAGCAGTTCACCCCAAAGGTGTCAGGGGGGCACAGGGAGGAGCAGTGCTCATCCTGGGTGAAGGGGAGGGGGGAAGAATTCAGAACGGATGGGACCCCCACCCAGGGCTGGGGAAAAGGCCCAGGCGTCTGGGGACCACCCCCTCATCCCTCCTTTTGGCATCCTGGTGCTGCAGGGAGAGTGGACAACCCCAAAAACCCCATTCTCCCATAGCAACCCCAAGCTGTATGCAGGGTTGCCACTGATCTCCCAAAGGATGCCCAGACCCTCAGAGATAACAACCCCAACCCATCTCCAAGGACAGACCCCCGTGTTTCCCTCAGGGATGCCCAGACTCCCATACTTGCCCCACCTCTGAACAATCCAGACACCCACCCAGAACCATCCAGAGCCCCCACGATCCCCCAGCACCACCCAGACCCTCCCTCTCCCACTCAGGGATGCCCCACGACGCTGCCCCAGCACACCAGCCCCCCGTGCCCCTCACCGTGTAGCCGGGGGGGCAGCGGCAGAGGCCGGTGGTCCCGTCACAGACCCCCCCGTGGAGGCAGAGGCAGCTCTGGAGGCAGCCAGGCCCGAAGGAGCCGGGGGGGCAGCTCTCATTGCAGAAGAGCCCGGCCCAGCCAGGGTGGCAGACACACTCCCCCAGCATGGGGTGACAGCTGGGGGCACACGCTCAGCACCCCAGTGCTCCCAGTACGGGGCGCCGGCTGTGCTGGGAAGGGGCTTTGCAAACCGAGGGGCACAAAGGCCCCGCCCCAGAGGGAATTAAAGTCTTCCTGGCCGTGCAGCCAACCCCTCAGCTGGCTCGGGGAGGGTGCTGGGGGGAGATGGGGGTGTGGGGGAGGCAAGGCTTGGAGGGGAGATGGGGATGGGGTGGGGAGGCAAGGCTGGGGGCGTGAGGCAAGGGGGGGGGAGATGAGGATGGTGGGGAAAGGTGAGGAGCTGAGAGAGGCAAAGATGGGGAGGGAGTCAGGGTGGGATGGTGCAGCCAGGGTGGGATAGGGGAGCTGGGGCAGGATGGTGTAGCCAGGGTGGGATGGGGGTGCTGGGACGGGATGGGGG